AAAACTGATCAGCAAAATCAAGCACCACCTGAAATTTTTATTTTTGAAAATGACGTATTCTGTTAGTTTGGTAAATGACACATTTGGTATTTTTCTCTTGCCGAGTTCCCTGATGAACATAATTTGTAAATATCATGATACACTGACTAGTAGTTAAAAAAGCACATAAAATTTCACTTATTATCACGGAGAGAAAACTGTGATAAGAATTCTACAAATGCAGCTTTGCAATATTTGTACTTCCTCTTGCACTAGGACTAACTGTGCATATTTATCGCTGAAAGATAGTTTCATTATATTACTGTTCAGATGTTTTCAGAATTCTTTGCTTTATTAGCCCTGAATATCTCTTACATTGAAACACAAATAGAGCTTTTACTGATCATCATTAATAATATTTCCTACCTTACGGCCATAATCTTTCACTTTAAAAGCTAAGAGAGATTTTATTTATTAGTGCCTGTGTTCTTAAGTAAAACAAGGAATTTCATATCCTTGATCTTAATTGAAGACTAAAAATTTATGAGAAAATTTTATGTTTTGTATAATTATCTATCTCATCATTTGTCCCTTTGCAAAATTGGTTATACTTTAATGATCCATGTAGTTTCTTAGTAGGTGTTTTTCTTGCACTACAGAGTTTTGTTTGAACCCTCCATGCAGTCTGCAGTGTTTTGCTTTCCATCTTCTAGAAAGCAATCATAAAACCCACTCAAAAACTGACAATAATTATTACAAGAAATAAAGCTAGCACTAAGCAAACCTCAATTCTTTCATCTCCCTCCCTGTGGGAGCTGCATATTTTATATAATGCCTCTAAATGCCATATTCCAGTTCAGAAATTAGTAATGAACCTGTGTTTAAACTGCAGATATTCCCTGTAAAATAGCCCGCTCTACCTAATCAAAAAAGTAAATATTTTTTTAAATAGACTCAGTCTTTTTTAATGATCTAAACAGATCTCATAAGGCCAGATAATTTGGATTTTCTATGTTTTTTTGCATTGTGTTCTATGCATTAGCAAATGATGAAATTTTTTGCGCCTTTCTATAACCAGAATGGGGGAAATTCAATGAATTATGACATAAATAAGGCTAGGTGATATGACTGCTTCTTGCTTGTTCTTCTTAATATCTTTCCACTGATTACAACGTTGTTTCCATTCTCAGGAAGCACCTGGAGAACAAAGATGGGCTAAAGTAGACAAGAAGTGGTCTGAAGGATTCCCTTGCAAGACAATGCTGCAGCACAAACACTTACTGTACCTGGTTAAAGTATCATAAATACACAAAGGTGAGGAGTTGCTTTCTATCAGACTTGAAAAATTTGTTCAGTGAAATCAATCTTTTTCATGTTATTTTGGCAGAAAAAGGCCAAGCAGTTACCGTCATTTTGAAAAATATGAAATTGCAGAAGAGCTATTTTCTTCTTGAATAAAATATCATTTTACACAAGGGCATATCTTGGAGGCCGTTTGCTGTGTCAGATTTCCTTACGTTGAAAGGGTGTTAAATTATCCTCTCAATTTGGGAATGAGCTTTTTCAGTCTGTAGGAAAACTGAACTGGGGTAAGCAATGAATTTGGGAAGTCCAATTGTTAAGGCCAGCACTAGGGGAGCAGGAAACTCCAAGTACATTAATCGTAAGCAGAATGTTGGGAGCTCCTTTTTTCCTAATTAAAGGCTCAAGCTGATGAGAAGCTAGTAATGGCAATGTCTGAGGTTGGAACCGAGCTGAGCACAACTTGCAGGGTGCCATGGTGAGGATCTGAGTTCTGTAGCATAATGTCAGTTTTGCCTCAGATCTGCTGTAAGCCAGTGTCTTAAGAGACACCCAAGCACAGCCTTCACTATTTTGTCCTTTGGATTGAAACTTTTTCATTGTTCCATTTTCGCAAGGAGTATGCTACGTGAATATCTAAAACACGAGCTAGCCTCATCTGCCTAACTAGCATATTTAAGGATGAATGTAACCAGGTATGTTCATAAGTTCTCCTGATTTTCTGTGGATTGGCATTCGACTGTTTGCAGATACAGGGGGAAAAAGCTGACGACTTAAATCTTCTCAGGCTGTCATTTGTATTTCATTTTTTTTCTTCATCCAACTGCTCTGTCTTATATAGCAAAGAAAACAGATTCACTATCAAACAGATTATCAAACATAATCTACTACGCCACACAGAAGGCAATGCTAAGCACCCCTCACGTGACCCTCATAAAGACAGAGTCCTCCAGTCCTGCATGGAGCAGAAGTACGGCAGGTGAGGCAAGGCATGATTCCCAGAAGAGCCCCGAGAAGCTCTTCGAGGACCTTTGCAGTTGCTGTTTTTGCCCTGAGTTTACCCTGGCTCCCAAGATCACAGATATGCACCCAGGGATCGGGATAAGGGATGGCAGAACTGTAGGTGTCTCTTCAATAGGGATCTTCTGTTCTGAAAGAATGGTGATGCCTGGTAAAAGTATTTAGTTTGTGCTGGCACTTTTCACTGCTTGCAAGAGACTTGAAACCATCTTGGCTGGTGAGCTGTCACCTGCGAGTTACTTTATTCTTTCTTTGTCTGGCAGCCAAACATCGTTCAGGATGCTATCACAAAATGCTTCCCCGAGGACTGAATCGGGAGCCCTGAAACAAATCCTTCAGCACACTCTGCTGCTTTTTCCCTTCCTTCCTCCAGAGATGTTTTCTTAGCCTTAACTACAGAAGGCCTGTAATAGGGAAGGGAACGGTGATTTTTTCCTCCCAAATTTTAAGTTAACTTAAGTCATAGTTTCAATGTGCTGTATGAATTTAAGAGGCCTCAGGACCTGAGCAATTTTAACTGTGCTTCAGTATGTCTTACTGATGCTAGAATATCATTTCACTTGAGGATTAGGCCTTTACGTATTTCTATACCTGAATAACTAAGAATGTGTTCACTTGGTATTGCCAACTTCAATATTTAACTATGGCATGAATCTGTATCAAATCCAGATGTTTGGTCTAATACTAACTGTCGCTAAGGATATTTAAAGTAAAATGGTATTTTGCTCAGCAAAAAAAAAAAAAATGTCACTAGAGGCTGTTCATATACGATGCTGATGGTTGCTAGGAGAGAAGGTGGAAAAGAATGAATTAATAAATATTTACCTCATTTTGAACCGTTATATTAACAGGATCCTTATGCAGATGAGAGAATGTAAGAGAAATGAGACTTTTTATAAAGGTTGTGTCAGCTAAACAACCGCAGATAAAACAGC